TCCTCCATGGTTGGCATGAGCTGATAATCAGGAAAAGTAAAGCATCGGTAGACAGGATCATAGAATTGCACAAGGGTGTTCAGAATTTCGTCTTCAATGTTGCTAGAAAGAACAAATAGAAGTCTCTCATAACGAGATCTGAAGTCTGCACAATCAACTACCAAGGACACTAGCTTTCTCAAATATGTAAGATCGGGATCTCGGAAACCGTACTTCTGATTGTTTCTTCTTCCAATATCCATAATCACAATATCTGCGATGTTTGCAAAGCAAAATCTCTGAGATCCTTAAAAACTGACTGAAACAAAATGTCCATGAATGCATGATAGCAAGATGCAACACCCACAAACAAGATCATACAAAGCATACAGGTTCAAAGGTTCGGCACGAGCATAGAGCAAAAGGTACAAGAACCAACCCACAATGGTATGTACTAAGGTTATATCAACACCTGTAGAACAAGGTTCTAAAAAGTTTCGAGAGTCATAATTTTATCTTTTGGATATTATCGGCTTAAACGACTACTCGTTGGCCAACAATATTCTCAAGAGAAACTCGTATGAGTGTGGTATCGTGTAACAACTAATTCAAGTCCACACCTGAATAGCCACCACACCACGTCCTAATAAAACCAAGATGGGTTAAAGGGTTCTAAGCTCTTCAGCTTTTCAGGCTCCTAGGTCGAAAAACGTAATGCCAATTACGAGTACTCGTAAGACACTAATAATCCCAAAGGGGCCTCCACTGAGCGGGGTATCTCATGTCAGCTTAGTAAGAACTACTCCACGTAAGCCAACAAGACAACACCAGCCTCTTATCATAAGTGCACTCAAGTTCGGGTATAGGACTTATCTCACCACACTGATCACCAGACACCCAAACAGAACAAGCAATAACAAACAAATCAAACAAAAAGCGATAAATAAATCAAAGTAGGCTAAACCCACTTGGAATCAGACATTCCCCAGTAGAGTCGCCATTTTTCTATAGAGGGGAAATTTGTGAGTGTAAGCTATTGATTAACTTAACTTTAAGTTCAAGATTCGCCACCGCACTTTTATTTTATCCAGAAGAAAAAGAAAAAGAGCGAACAAAACCTAAGAGTTCTAAAACAAGAACAAATAAACAGAGATCTGGCTAAGGAGGTTGGTTACGCAATGGAAAGGTGTTAGCACTCAAAACGTCTATAGTATTATATAGGAGCCCTTTGAAATATCTAGGCTTTTTGGTTTGAAAATGGTTTTCTTGAAATGAGATTGAGGAGGTGAGAAGAGAACTATTTTTTTAAAGATTTTTGTGTTTGGAAATACTTATCGCCTCATGCCTACGTACCCACAAAGTGCAATGTAGGATCAAAACCCCATAGTTCGTGGTACAAATGATAAAAATTTGTTTGTTTTGATTGATTTTAAATGTAAAGACAAGTCATCATTTTAAGGAGAAAACTACGACTAGTCGCCCGCAAGTATAAGACAACATTTGCATCACCTAAAGATGGAAGATTTTGCTTGGATTAAAATCAACAAGTATATCGCTCAACTTCTAAGTGGAACATGTCAACATCTTAAATACTATGGGGAATAAGAGAATTATATATCAACTATGGAAATGAATCATGTCTAAACTTTATGAAAAGTTTTAAAATGAAAAGTGTACAAAGGCACAAAAAGTTTGAATGAGGTGGAGTGTTTTTTATATATTTTTGAAATTGGTCAAAATATGATTAAGATTGATTGACATTTATTAAAGAAAACAAAGCTTAAAAATCACTTGACAAAAGTCAAGGTTTTATTGTGAAAGCGGTTTGAAGTTTGAAAACAAGAAGGTTTTTGAAAAAGGGAGAAGATTTTAAAAATTTAAGAATGAGAGGAGATGAAATGACTACCCTAGAAAGCAAAATAAAAGTTAGATATAAGAAGGACCTAACCAAATTATCGCACACTGCATAGCAAGCCAAATAAGAATTTCATCCATCTTGAAGCATAAGCAAATGAGTAAGCCAGATAAGAATTTCATCCATCTTGAAGCATAAGCAAATGAGAAAGTCAAATAAAGGCAAAGATCCATAATACTCCAAGCTTGGGGAAAGATACCTAATTCTAAGTCCAAGGGTCCAAGAATAGTCCAATAGATCCAAGGTCTAAGAATAGTCCAAGAGCATAACCACAAAGTTAGGAGCACCAAATTTTCTAGAGATTTAATCATTTATTAATGTTTTGAACAAGATATGGTTCAAATGTACAAAAGAAAAGAGTGGAAGCATAAACATGTGTCCAACAGACAAAGGAAAAATAACGGACACATAAAATATGATATGAGATGATAAAAATGGAGCATAAAAAATAAAAGAGAGATAGGGAGCAAGGAGGAAACATAAACAAAATTAGCACAATGATATTGTTAGTAAGTTAGTAATTAGTTGTTAGAACAAATGATCAACGATAGTTAACTCATGCACTTAGGCCAAGGTTAATGAAGACTCATTAGAGGATTGATAAAATCAAAGTCTCCTAACAACAAGTTTCATAGGTAATGGACCTAAGACAAATAGTCAACCATACTTGGATTTTCAAACATAAGTTTGAGCCACGAATAATCACTTTTCGATTATGAGACAATTTAACGCTATGTTAAGCAATCGTAATAGGGTTTATGTAGAAACCACGACTATCTGAGGTTAGTCAATAAAAATTTTAGTGTTAATGCATGCTAGAGAAGTGATATGTAGATCACTCTCCGAAAATAATACCGCACGAAAAGAAAGATGGTAACGATCTCATCTTCATCAAGAATTTGAAATAAGTTCAAACGATATCAAAGATTTTCACCGATCAAAAGAAAAAAAGAGAAGAGGAGAGGGAGTATCAAATTGAATTACAATTCCAAGGTCATTTCATCTTTAAGTTCATCCACTCATCTTGGTGGATTAAAGCACTAAACATCATTAACTCAAAGCACCTAAAATGAATTGAACAATTCACTTTAAAGATAGATTTGAATTAGTGGATGTTTATCCAACTTCATCTACACCATAATTCCAATGAATTTAAAGAGGAAAAGAACCTTTAAAAGTGCATTCCAATGCAAAAATCAAAAGGAAATGGAAGAAGAAGAAGAAGAAGAAGAAGAAGAAGAAGAAGAAGAAATAACCAAAGCAGTCCCAAAACAAAGCCAAAATGGCAAAATTAACATTGGGTAATCAATTACCCTAAGCTGGTAATCAATTACCACTGTTAAAACAGCAGCAAAACAGCTCGAAAATGTGAAAAAACTTGATCAATCATTTTTTTCAAATACCTCATGATCAAGGATGCAATTGAGCACGAAAATTCAAGTAAAATAACAGCAATCAACACCAATAGAACACAATTTGCAAGATCCAAAGATCAAGCAATAAGAATCAACAACAGATCACATTGTGAAGGATGTGTGAAGAGAAATAATGGTGGATCAAGAAATTACCACTCCAAATCTAGAAATTCTTCAAATTAACTCCACAAACCACACTTTAAAGCCTTGATCTACTGAAATTGATGATGAAAAAGTGAATGGATGAAGGTTTAGCTCAAAGGTTAGTAGGTTATAGTGATGAACTTACTAACTTTCAAAGGAAGAAAGAGCTTTGGTGAATTTGGGAATTGGAGAAAATTGAGAGTCAAGAAAGAATTTGACAATGTAAATTTGGCTATCAAAAGCTTATGAAATGATATAAATGAAGCCTCTATTTATAGGAGTTAGACTTGGAAAATTTGATGGATTGAAGTTTGGTTTGGAAATAAAATTAGGCTTGAAATTTGAATTTGAAGGGAAATTAATGATTAAGTGGTGATTAGTGAACGTGTATGGTGGAAATTAATTATGATGAGGTGGGGGAATTAAAATGAAGTGATCTAGAATATTCTCATGATGAAACATTTGAATTTGGTGCCAAAAATGCTGCATAATTTGAATTTGGCCAATTTTCACAAAATGCGCACAGAGTAATCGATTACCTTAAACTGGTAATCGATTACCACATGCAAAAATGGTGAAAATTTGCCTTTTGATGTGCTGTCTTGCCTCTGGCTCGATTCTTTTTCTTGTCAAAGAAGGAATGAAAATAAACACATGAACCTTGGAGTCTCTTGAATAAAAGTCAATCAAATCTTGGAAACTCTTGATCAGATGATTTTGAATTGTTTGTAGATCAACTTTGACTTTTTTCAGATGAAATTCACTCGAACAGAGGTTGGTATTTGATATCCTTGATCCAAATTCTTCCTGAAAAAGTTAGTAAAGGAAAAACAAATATTTTTTTAAATTTTGAATAATGGTTGGTAAACGTAAACATAAACAAATATCAAACAAACAAGAAAATAAGGGTGTCCGGTGATCTCTCAAAAACAAACCTGCATAGGAAGGTAAGAGAACCAAAATTTGTGATCTTGTCTATGGAATAAGATGCAAATGATATGTGGGATCTTAAAGGTAAAAAATTAGGGTATTACATATAGTACTGTGATTTTACTGAACAATCTCTTGCTATCACTCCGACCTCTCGTGAAAAAAACTACTAACACAGCTACACTGCCTCGCCATCAATCCGGCTCTCCTCCTTTCATCATCCCCCAGTAGTCCTTATTACAAAAGTTTTACGGATTATTCTCTTGTTGTCGATGCTTCTTGGACTGCTACTCCTCATCACAGTTTATCTCTTTCTTGTTACCATGACTAAGTCCATACTATAGGGGTTTTATTGCTCTTCCTGTTCCTACCTCCCCCTCCTCTCTCTCTCTCTCTACTCTCTGAAATAGAGATCCATACTAATTCATATTTGAGTTTCATGCAAAAGATTCAATTGTCAAAATGTTCACATGACTAGAAAGGCATGTGGCTATATTGTCTGATCATCATTAGCTTCACTAGCCTAGTAGTAGCAATAATATTAATCTTAGTACTTTGGCAAAATTGTGAAAATCATTACTATGATCCTTCTTACATGAACAACCAAAGTCAATAGCCTATTCAACAATAAAAAGTTTATCATTATCTCTTATCACATCAATACTATCTATTTCTGCTCCTTCTTCATTTGTCACCATTGCATCTCTTGCATCAAACTCAAATTTTTCACCTAATAAACACATACAAAAGATGAAGAAAAATAAGAACACAAGACATGTCTATGTCCGTCTGCACACTAGTATTTATTTATAGTAAAAATATCACTATATTAGTACTAATTTCCGGTGAATTTGAAATTTTACCTGCGATAGTTTTGAGCTTTTCTAATGAATCAGGCAACTTTATTAACTTTCCGGCTTCATTCAAATCTTTTTCTCTTCTCACTATAGGGTGACCTCTATATATACTTACTCTTGGAAACTCTACTCCATTATATCTTCCCCTAATTTGTTTATGTTCTTCTTGATTATCACCCTTTAATACAAACTCACTAGGCATTTCCTCATTCACATTAATTAGATGTCCGATTTCACGTTTCTGAAGTAGCTCATTTAAGGTGGATGCAGAAAATTCATGAGTATGTATATCAGCAACTTCCGCGCCATTCATAACAAGCAACTGAACCATGTCAACAAGATTTTCTGTTATAGCAATTTGTATGGCTTTCGTGCCGTGTCCATCTTTCGAGTCGATGTTTAGTCCTTGCTTTAAAAGCTCGTTCATTATGGTTAAATCGTTTCTTTTTGCTGCTAGACATAGGAGGTTTCCTGCTGTGTATGGATCAGAAAGGGCAAAAAGCTGATAGAGGATTCTGAAGATTGAGTAATGTTTTGAAGCAATAGCATACCATAGTGCAGTGTTACCATTCATATCTGTCCATAAATGTAATGGTAATGTAAATCACTACATGAATGTGAAGTATATAGTTGAAAAATATTCAGAGAAATATATGTGATACCTTTTATATGTATGTTGCATGTATGTTTGAGCAAGACTTTAACACACTCTTCATGTCCATTTGATGCTGCTATGTGCTGCACACACAATCATCAATTAAGTTGATTGTAAAGGAAGTAATCCACGAAACACTGATACAGACACGGACGTCAAATACAATACTAATACATACACTGATAAAAATTTAAAATAATGAATTGTCACTGTTATATCAGACACTGACACGTGTTGGATACCAGACACACTGTCTATCTGAATTTATTTTTAGAAGTTTAAGACATGAACATACATACCAAAGGAGTTTTCCCTTTTGAGTCACCAATATCAGGATCCAAACCAGCTCTTAGAAGCTCCTCAAGAAAAGCAGCATTACCTGTTCCGGCCACAGTTAACAAATTCACAGCCATGTTAGGATCCTCTTCTTCAACATTCTCCACCATTAAATCTTTGATAGTCAAATCCTTAAGCTGCTTATAATGCTGCAATTACATCCCATTATACTCTATAAGCTTTCAAGTCAAAACCATAATAATGACGATTACTCACAAGTCAAAACCATAACCAACCTGAAGGAAATTTTTTAGTATTAGTATATTATCTTCTTGTTTAATCTGCATTGCTTCTATAAGAGCACTGGTTTTCAACCTCAGAAGTTGTGTGAGAGTCTTGGTTCTATATGTATAGCTTTGAGACCTACAACAAAGTGCACCAACTTCTCCAAACATGTCTCCTCTTGTTAAAGTCCCTAAAACTCTCTCTTTCTCTATAACACTATCAATGATCTCCACTTCTCCTGAAACTATAATGTAAACATCATCTGGTGCTTCATTCTGCATTATAACATCCTCTTTAGGTGGTATATATTCCGCATTCATTTTCGCAACCTGCAACACATTCACAATAAGCGCTTAATTAAGTTGTTTATTCGTACATAGTCTCAATATAAGCATAAGAATCAAAGATGAGTCTCTTACTAGGGACAAAAGGATTTCTTTCGTGACGCCTTTGAAGAGATAGACTTTCTCCACAGTTGGAAAAAACAAATGCTGGCAAATACTTTTGCAAATTGATTTCGGAAGCTGTTCAATTAACTGATGCTGATTCAATCTCTCCGCTTTAAATCTCAAACACATGTAAGCAAGGATCTGTTCTTTTAACCTCGGAGGCAACCTATTTCGGCACACAAAGCTCGATGCTGCTTCAATGCTATTTCTCTACAACAAATGCAATATACAATTTCATCATGAAGTTCTAGTATACATACGTAATCTCGGAGTTCAGCCTACTATTCTGAGAGCAATAATACTTACGAATTCCATGGTTCGACGAGTTCCTTCGACTACAAGATTCGTCATGTTACCAATCAAGTAAGCGGTTAGTCCAAGGTTGAAGAGCATATAGAAAATAATAAAAATCATTTCCATGGTGTTGACAGCATGAAGATCGCCATAACCAACGGTTGTCATGGTGGTGATGGACCAGTAGATGGCTGAAATGTATCTGGTTCTAGGACTAGTCTCTCTGAAATTCGGAATGACAGCTCCAATCCATGTATTTCCTTGATGAGGATACCTATCAGCAAGCATGTAATAGAGACAGCCAGCACAATGGATTGAAAAAAGTGTGACAGAAAGAAGCCTGGCACATCTGACCCAGAAATAGCTGAATCTGATGTCTTTCTCAAGCCTTGTGAAGAATTGTTTGACACGTCTGATTCTCCAAAATCTGAGCATTCCCAAGAGGAAGTAAGGGAGGCCCAATTTGTGTTTGCCTGTTAAAATATAGGCTATGGCTTCGTAGGGTATTGTTGATGCCACATCCATTATGAACCATGTTGATAAGTACCTACCATCATCCCATTTAGAGAGTGACTTGTTAAACCAAAATTTTGTATAGTTTAGCTTAGTAATAAAGAATTTGCATTATAGTAGAGCTGACATGACATCTAAGTGAACTAAAATTCAGTTCCCATTATCTATATAGTTAACGTTAACTATATGAAATATATTATACTATTATTTATTTAATTAATAAAATATTCCAACAGCATTAAAGTAATGGTATGATATTCGAAAATAGTGGGTAAGTTTTGGTTTCTCAATTCTCATAGAAAACCATATTACTCAAATCAACTATAAATTTTTTAAATCCTACAAAACACTTTGGGCCCACAAAAAATATTTTATTTTACTCATTTAGTTTATTCTCATTAAAGATACTCTTATGAAACATCAACATTGAATTAAATTATTGGGCCGTCTTTTTAAATTGGGCTGGCCCACTAATTTTTTGTCTAAGATTTGGACCCTGGCCCATATATAAGTTTTGTGGTTAAAAAGGAACCAGGTGTTCGTTATTTTATCTTATTTATTTAAATCTAATTAATGAATACTCCTACAACAACTATAGTTAATCATTATCTGAATAGTTGGTCTTACACATAACACATATCAATATTATCAAACTTAGGTTGAAATTAGGCTCTAATGTATTAAGCCTCTTTAAGAATATATGAATTTCGAATTTTAGAAAATGAATAATTAAAATCAATCCCTCACGTATGAATTAGAGAACGAATAATAATTATAATAATAATAGCAAATCAAATTCTTTATGATAAAGAAAATGTCATATTTTATTATATTCTTGTAGAGAGCTTTTCATCGTTTTTTTAGAATAATAAAATACTTTTTAAAAAAAAACAAAGAAGTATTAAATTATTCTCATCACTTTTTCATGTTTTTCTATACTATATAATAATTTGGAATGTAACCATTATTTTAGGCGTTTGTATAAATATTTCTAGATTGCTGCATAAATTTATTTATTTTAATTTCCCTATTTGATAATTGCTCTTGATTAAAATAAAATAAACGAAATTAATTTTGATATTAATTGTTTATAAATTATTATTTTAAGTATTTTTAAGAAAATAAAAAATTGTCTTATATCTGTTCAAAATAGTTAGATGAGTCTAACTGTCTAAGAATATATTTAATTTTCTTCTATTAAATATTATTTTATTTTATCATAAGATAAATTTTAAAGGTAATTTTAAAAATATTTCTATAAATATTTAATGAACATGATTTAACTTCTGTGTGTTTAAAAATTAATTTTTTAGTAATTTTTAAACACACGAAAATTAAGTTATGTTCAATAAATATTTATTAAAATATGTTTAAAATTAACTTCAAACTTTATTGCATAATAAAATAAAATCATGATAAAATATTTTTTAAACACACAGGAATTAAATCATAATAAAATATTTAATAGTAATAAAAAATATTTTATTATTATTATTATTACAAACTATTTTTTAATATTTTTTAATATTAATTATTTTTCCTATCAAAAAAGTATTATTTATTTTTCAAAAAACCGTTCTATTAAATATTTTACAATGTCGGTTAATTACAAACTAATAATTATAATTAAGTGACAGTATAAAAGATCTTTATGTAATGTATTTTAATTAAATTTATTAATTAATATTAATGTAAAATTATACTTTAATTAAGTTAAGAAATTACCTAACAACAATTTTTTTGGAATTTCTGACAAGAAGATGAGTAGTTCCATCAATGAATGCCACAAAGAATGTCATAACAATATCAATGGCGAAGAAAAGATCAACAATATTGTCCACAATATACAGTTTTCTATTTGGAGAAGAATGCATGAAAGCAACTTCAAAGGGATAAGCCCATGCAGAATATGCTACCAAAACAACCATAAAACTTTCCCAACACCTGCATATAAATTAAATAAAAATACAGCGTTAATTTAATCCTTAAATTAATTTATTATACTATTCTAACACTATATTTTGAAACACATTGAATTTAACAGAAATCATGGTAATATATTAATTTTATTAAAATACAGAAATACACTTTTTGTTTGGACTAACCCAAAAAATCTAGATGTTTAAAATAAATATTGAGACGAGTCTCTTTATTAATTAAAATAAAAAATATTTTTTTAAAATTAATATATTTTTAAGCTATCAAATAATAATTATATTTAAGTAAAATATATTAACATGATTGATTAATTTTATTACTGAATTAATTAGTACTAGCAAACTTATTGAATACGATGTAACCAAAAAAAAAAAAAGCTTAGTGAATAAGTAATTCACCAAAAAAGAAATTAGTGAACAAGTTTATACTTTGAGATATAAAAAAATAATACTATTAGTTAATTGAACCAAAAGTATTAAAATATACCTTAAAAAAAGTCCTAAAAAGTTAACATAACATTATTTAAAAAAGTTAAATTAAAATAAAAAAAGAGAAAGAAGTTTGAAGCAAACCTGTATCTAGAATCCATTGGTGAAATGATCCATCTTGAGTAAACTTGATTGTCTCTAGAAACACCAAGTGGTGGAAGAATGAGTTTTGAAATATTCCTTAGATTGAAAGATGAAGAGGATGTATAATCTTCTTTAACTTCGTGATGATGTTTTCTGTTGAAGCTAGAAGAATCATAGGAACTGAAATTGTTATCCATTTTCTTGAACTTGATTGAACAAGTTTGAAGAAGATAATTGGTTAAAGGAGAAAAGAAAGCATGATGGTGTTATTGTGATTTCATTTTCATGTCTCACTAATGAAATATGGGTTTGAATATATAGCCAATAGCTTAGATCCAATGATAAGTGTTAGTGGGGACACTTTTGTCTTTCTATCCACATGTGACTCTGCATGAAAATTGTATTTATATCTGGCTTTTCTTGGGTTGAAATTTGAATTTTTTGTCATATATATACGTAAATGAAAAACTCGTACAAAGCGTGTGAGCTCAAAAGTAATAGCAAATTATTATGGTTATAATTTATAAGGTAAAGAATATAAAAATAGAAGAAAAAAAAATAGTTTCTGTTTTTTTTGGAGTTGTGAGAAACACATAAGATGCATGTATACAACATAGTATTGTTGGAAATTAGATATTAATGCCAATAGTTTTAACACATCTTTGTGTGAGAGGATATTGTAACTTATAATAAGTCCAAAGTTTCTAGACTTTTGGCAAAATGTAAAATGAAAAACGTTTTGGTTGTGGCTTGTAATTTTTAATTTTATTTTTATTTTTGGAAGAATTACACTGGATGACTCGATTATTAAAAAAAATACCAAATCAACAAAATCTCAAATTTTTAAAATATTACAATTTCACAATTAAATTTTTTAATTTTAAATTTTAAAGATGGTTATCACACATAACAAAATAGTATAAAATACAAATCCAAATAAATTTTGAATAAAATTTAATTGCAACATAACAAAATAATTGCAATGTCTAATAAATTTAAGGGTTAAATATGTTTGTGGTTCTCCTAAATATTTCAAATTTCGTTTTTAGTCTCTCAATATTTTCTTTAAATAGTTGTTTTTCTATAATTTTTCATTCACATTTTTTGTGCCTAAAACCAAAATTGTCACTAAAATTATTGCTAAGAAGATAATGTTCTCAAATATGCATCCTGAGAAGATAAGAAGGATAGAGACTATTTTTGACATGAAGATAGCCTAAATTGGTTTTTGATCTAAGGAACTGAAGTTTAGAGATTTCATAATTTTGACTCTTGTATTTGGGCATGTTTGATTTGTCTTGTATAGTCTCTGTAGCCTAGTTTATCTTTGTAATTTTAAGACAAAATTAATTATGTGCATCTTTTGATGTTTATTATGGTTGTTTTTTATGATTTGGGTGTGTATATGCTAACATAACCCTTGCATGATTGACCTTGTATGTACTATTTGCATGCTGACTTTGTTAAAGACTTAAACATTTTTCTAAATTATGGCAAAATGGGGAGTAATGAGATAAAGTTGTTTAGTATTGACTGTGCAGAAAAGCCCTAATGTTGTGCTCCATGTTAGAGCATCGGGCAAGACATCTGGTCTCAGCCCCTGTATCTGTGAAAACATGTCTATATGTTTTATTAGTATTCATTAATATCAATTACTAACTGATTTTTGTGTGCATGAATAAGTATGTGAGTGATTGCATAATTGTCTGTTTGGTTTGGAGCAAACTGAATAGGTTATGTGTAAACATTTGAATGCTAATGCTTTTGTCTTCTGTTGCTTGCTGCTGGTGCTTAACTCTGATACATAGAAGTTACAACTGCTGAAGTGCTCTGAATATCTAGTGCATCTACTGCATGTCACTTGTTCTCATGGGAGAAGTATTATTTATCTTGAAGAGTTGTTTTGCCATAATTTGGCAAAGGATGAAATTGTTATTCCTATTGAATTGACTTTATTTTAGCAAAACAAAAACTTAGAAATGTGTCTAAGTATTTAAAATTGGTCTAGCTTGCTAAAGTTGTATGAAGCTACATAAAGAACAAATGTTGGGCGCGATACTCCAGCATATTGGTACGACATCTGGGCCTTGTGCAATAGGTACCAAAATGTTGCGTTTTGGAGTATGTTTTGCAGAAGATTGTTAAAGATTTTATTGTTATTGATTCAACGGTATGATCAGATAATTTGTTTGACAGCTGGATGGAGTTTAATTCGGATTTAAATGAAGATTTGAATTTAAATTTAAGTGAAAACAAATAATATATTGTTGGAGATATTCAATGAGCAAATTAAATATCCAACATATTCTACATTAATTTTGAACGAATTCAAAGATATTATCCAAAGAGAAAAGCCCAAAGTTACATTGTTATATAAGGAGCTTAAACCTACGTTGGAAAGCAAACACTATCATTTAAGAACTTAGAATGTTAGGCTTTGTGTTGTGTATCCACGCTAATACCCTAATAGGATTAATGTAGGAACTTTATGTACACTTCTATGTTTCAGTAGCTTAGCATAGATGGTTTTGTCTGGTTGAGTTGTAAGCAACATTGTTTATGTGCGCCTCTATGTTTCAATAACTTTGCATATAAAGTTTGTCTAGTTGAGTGTAATATTCAACATTATTTATCTTGTGAAGATGGAAGTTAATCACTAGAGTTTAGTGGTTGTTTGCCCCTTTCACTGGGATTTTGACAGAGAAGAAAGTGAACAGATTCTCATATTTAGAGAGAGGCTCTAAATAGAAACTCATTGGGTAGATTTACGAAGAGGCATTGAACAACATAGAATTTGTTGTTTCTTGTAAGTCTAAATTTACTAAACTACTAATAGTGAATTTCCTTTCTTAGGATGTGGACTCGGGCCCCAGACGTAGGTGTAGTTTTATTGTATTGGGTAAATAATTTAGTTGTGTTCTTTATTTCTTTTTTGCTCCACTATCTATAACTTGTTAGTATAGTGTTTTGGGTGTATCTTGTCGAACCTGATGTCGGAGTATCGAGTTCGACATTTGTCTCTTGAGAAACAAAACTTTAATGTATGTTATAGTTTGTACGAGGTCAGACATAGTGTACAGAGTGAACTTTGTATGCAAGTATATGGTCAATCCAGGGAAGGCACACTAGAAAGCTTTGAATTGGATTCTGAGATACATAAAAGGATCCCTGAGTAGGGTCCTAGTTTATGGTAGAGCAATGAGCGATACGGAAGCTGAAGTCGAAGGATTTTTTGAATCTGATTATGTAGGATGTATAGATACCAGAAAATCCCTAAGTAGGGTCATAATTTTCTTTCACCTATAAAAGTCGATAGAGTTTGCCTCTTCTATCTAGGTTTAAGGTGGACTCAGTTGATAAGTCTGCTCGAATTCATACCAATTGATACCAATGTATCTCCCAATATTACTACTAGTTCAATATAAATGTGATAATTACTTCTTTTATGATAGATTACAATCTATTGTTTCTTTTATGATATATTATAATCATGATAGTAACTTTGTTAAGTTATTTGACAATAGATTGGATATGAAGTAGGCATGTCCTCTATTATTTGCGCATTAAAAAAATATTTAAAATTGCATTGCTTGTTAATTAATTATGTTCTCTCAACATATTTATAATTGTTAATGACTATTTTTTTAATTAGAAACATCAACTTTTATGGTTGATTTTGACTTTAACTATTTACAATCGTCGACATGAGTTCTTTGTCAACAAAATTTGAATTTTGGCAACAAGAAGTAAATGGATAAAGGATAATATTATTCGCCACTAAATGAATAGTATAAAAAAGAATGATATAGCTGGATAAGGCTAATGGAATTTGTGCAGGATAACATTAATACTCCCTTGGTATGGTTATATGTCTTTTCATGCTTATATGCCTATAGTCACTCATGCCATGCCACTAAGTGTGATGATATTTGAAATTATAATCTTCAAAATGGAAATTCATGGTGACTTCATGAATCAATAATGCAAATCATGTGATATCAACAATTAGTTTCATGTCTCTATCAAAAGATAAAAGGAGTATTTTCATGATGGTAAGAAACTAAAGATTGAATATGATATGAGTTGTTGCTGAAAGATAAAATATTACTATCATTTGTATATGAGCAGTTGCTGATTTCAGTGATTATTTTCATAATGGAACCAAAAATTTAAATTCTGATGCTAAATGAAAATGTCCATTAAGATCTATGATTCTATTTGTTCAAAAATAACGGATAAAATATGAATATATAGTTAATAACAGATTGAAAATAAATTAGTTTATTGATTTTATATTTAGTGTTTCATAAAATTAACTATTGAATTAATTTATTAAACTAGAGTACTGTGTAAAATAACATAAAATAAATGTATTTAACGGATACTTTTATGGAAAAAAAAATGATGTATTAATAGTGTAAATTTAAATATAATTTTTGACTGTTTGATCTTAATTTAGTAATTGAAAAAAATATTGAATGCATGAATGTGACAAATTTATAACTGTAGAGAATTGTGATCGACAGAACAATAGGATTATTGAAGTTTGGTGAATTTTTAATTTATTGTGTATGAGTGGTTCTGTAGCATAAGAGGGGACAGCATGGTAACACAAGAGTCGCATCAAGGTAAAAGAAAAAGGACAGATTGATGTGGCTCTTCATCTTTAATAAAATGGGTTGAATGAATAAAAGATTGTCACGCAAGTATTGGTCCTTCAAATCTGATAAGAATACAACCATAACAATGACAACATATTTGAACTTGCCCACATCTTTTGGGACCTTCTTCCAACTTCAAAATAAATGTGGGGGATGTGTACCTCTAGCATATTTTCTATGTGATTAGACGTTTGCCATATACTAGTATTATTGAAAAGTAATAAATATTCTCTATGGGTAGCATTTTTTTTTCTATGATAGGAGAAAAAAGATGGTAAAATATTCAAATAGAGTTGAATAGAATTTGTGTACGGAAATCCATGGATTGGGGCATATGATTTCCACTCAATTTGTGACCATAGTGCTTTTATTTTGTTCTATTTGTGAACTTGGACCATAAATATAGAATCTATTACTACTGTAAAATGAGATATGGAACGAAGTAAATGATGCCTTCTCGGTATAACAGAGAGCCAAGAACCTAAGGGCAATTATTTCACCAAATTTTCCACTTGCTTCGTCCAATACTGCTACTGCCTTTGATGGAAATCAAAGAATTTTGGGGGGGGGGGGGGGGGGGGGGGGGGGGGGGCAAAAAAAAACTAACAGGCTAATGATATAACAACTTTTATTCTCCTAATAGTAGCATTAGCATCCCATAAACTCCGAATTAGGGAATCTTAACCTCAGTTACCTTGAATTGATTGCAATATAGCGTTTTATATATTGTAATTCATATTATACGCATTTTACTAACTTCAAAAAACACAATCTCTTTAATTTGTTTTTGTCTCAAAATCATATGCATTGCCCCCAAGCAATCAGCCAAAAGAATCTATTGTAGTCTGAATAATGACGACAACCTATTGTGGTCTGAATAATGACGATGAAGAATCTATCAGATGAAACCAAGAATGATGTTCAATCATCAACTAGAGAGAGACAAAGCAAAGCTATGCATTGACGCTGTGAAACACACTAGCAAAGATAACTGTGAATGCAATAAAAATTATCAACATAGGAGTCAAGAAACTGCATGGAGGGAAGAAAGTCCACGATGAATAATGTTGAAAGTGCGATATAACCATCAAAGACATTGGATATCAGAAGCCGCAACTGTTGCAACCTCGGTTTTGGAAAAACAGGTGTGTAGAAAGCAAAAGAGTGGTGGCTAAGAGATCAATTGTGAAAATGATGACTAAGATTCTTCTGACATGAACAATAGAAGTCAGTTAATAAACAGCGGATGCATGTATAGCTCTAGTTACATATTAGGAATATGTGAATTTGAGGTCAAAGGAGAAAGGGACCTTTGGAAGCTTGAATAAAATATGGTAAAGTGTGACAGTCAAAGCATTATTTATAGTTTGTCAAATGATATCATTTCAAATTGAGACACCAAAAGCTCTATTTACGTTGAGCTTAATACAATAAAAAACTAAACTAATCACCAATCTAAACTCCAACCTATTTCTTCAAAACTTCAATTGTTAATCATGTGTCAACAAAAAAACGGCATAATAAAAGAGTGGGGCCTAATCCATAACCATTACGGAAATGAATCCTCTCGTATGTGTGATTTTTACACGAGTAAAGTGCGCTCTCTTACAAGTTCACTTCATCTAAATCTTCTTATGTGAAAATTGCACATAAGAGAATCCATTACCCACCGCTATCCTTCAGGGTGTCAAAAGAACACTCATTACACAGAACACTTCTCTTTCATGATTTTAGTGCTTAATTTTTTTGTACAGCAAGATTGAAGTTTTGCCAAATTGGATGGTACTCCCTAATCCACCGGTGATAATAGTATACAATCTAAATGCCACCACCAGAATTCACGGTAGGTATGCAATGAGGGTAAATCATTGGCTAAAACAATTTCAAACTATACAAAAATACAAGCCTTCATAATTGCTAATTCGCATAAATATTTCATAAACACCAGAATGGTCATCAAAGGGACTAAAAAGTAAATTCTTATCACACTTCATACACAATTTCATTAGTAATCAAATTCAATACACAAATCTTGATAATATCTAATAATAATAATAATAATCCAAAGTATGTCTCACTAAATTATGCCATATGAATGACAAAATAATTCTATAAATATTGTCTATTACTATGAAGCTTCTAAGCAAGTGCTTGGAAATGTTTTCAGAGTGAAATGCACTCCACTACAAAAGCTATGTCTAATAATCTTGGATTGGAAGCAGAGAACATATGTCCAAAAACACATTAAATAAGATTTATAATAAATGTAAAATTAAATTTTACAGGCAAAAACACACTAAACGAACTCACCAACGATAATAACCATATCGAACTCACCGACAGTGTGTACGAAACCAGGCTGTAATGGCCAATCTCACCCAAACACACATCACACCGGCAATTTAAAAGCTGCAAACTGGAATGGCAGCTTTATTCGAGTTCTCGTCGCAGAACTCAAATTATTAAAACACAAGCTATAGCACTTCGAACTCGGAACAGTAAAACCCAAAACTGTTTCTTTAGCTTTTCCTAAGATATTTTACACCAATCAAAATGTGTTTCAAATTGAGCGACTATATGAACAGTAGTAATAGGTAGCTTATACTGTTCAACCACCTTTAGGAAATAATGATACTCTAACAATTCTACCTTTTTCATTAAACATTTTCCCCCGTTCTTCTATCATTTTGATTATTCTAAAGATTAGCCTCATATCAACTTCGAGTTATTGTACTTGAAAAAAAACAATTTTTTTTAAAACTTCAAATTATTGTGATAAGCACAAAAAGATATCACGAATATCCTAACATCTATACCTTACCAAAGCTCGTAAGGTCTGTAAAAACAGTCTAACATATCAATTAAATAGTTGGGGTAAGGTCTGTAAAAACAGTCTAACATATCAATTAAATAGTTGGGGCAACTTCTCACGCCAACAAACACTTCCAGTGTGTGAAGCAGGTGGACAAATATCATTATTGAACTAGACAGCACTTTCAGATCTGAAATGATCTTTGACAAGTGATAAGGATTAGGACCTATACAAACTATAAGCTAATTACAGTTAATGTTGTATAAAAGTTAGCTTACTGTGGTTTGTTTTACTTGGTCCATGATCAAGAGTTACAGATATTCTGTGATAATCCAGTATAAGCATTTCTTCTGTGTTTGATTGGAAAGTAGACATTCATTGCTGTGGCTCTTCAACCTGCACCCTTGAGTAAGTGTAGCTCTCGAGGTTTGAGTCGCCGTCATTGGCCTTTGTCCAGGAAATCTTCCATATTGTATACAAACTTCGCCTGCATATACCACAGCAATCATGAGACAACAAGACAATAGTCAAACTATGATATTGTGATAATAAACCAGCTTTCCCAACAAGCAAAAGAAACTGAACAAGTTCTACACTAATGCTACAACCATGGATGGATAATGATTCAAATAACTAAGATAGAAATAGTATAGTTTGTTGAATAAATTGCGGTTCCTAAAATATATGCATGTGTAATCCCCTTGCTCTTATTGACATGATAGGAAATTCTATAGTAGGGCTGACAATTTTGCAATTCGGGTTCCAATAATTATTTGGTTAATAGTTCAAATATACGATATCTAACGTGCATGAGTTATAAATCCTGTTAAGGTGGAAAATTAATGACGGAAAGAGATGCGACAAATACATGTGAACATGTTGATTGAGAATCGGAGTTTATAATTAAAATGCAACAAAAGAAATCCAAGCAAGTGTTTGTAATCAAGATATACCAAATAATCAGACAGAGAAATAGGAAAAATCTTCAGCAACTAGGTTCTCATTCTTGAGTTTATTAATGCTAATATCCAAGCTAGAATTTTTAGGGTTTAATATGTTTCTAGTCCCTACAAAGTTTTGAATTTTTCAGTTCAGTCTCTAGATAAATTTTATTGAATTTTAGTCTCTATATTTAGATCCTGTAAAAAACAAAATAAGGACTAAAGTTAAACAAAATTTATGCAGGGACTAAAAACATATCTAATTCAACTTTTTATAAATCACATAGGGCCTAAGCCTGAAGCCAACTCATTCTGAGTTAACTTACATATTCCCATAATTTGGAAGTATTGTTGCACACTATTCATATTCGGTTATAAGTATGTCCATCAATCATATGCAGTTTACTGCTGGGGACAGGAATATACCTCTCTGGTTCCTCGCTCCTCTTTGCAAGCATTAATGTTAAGAATACGGGAACCATTGCTGCAAACAAGTGCTTGAGTGTATGACCGCTGACAATATGATTAGTCCATTTGTAGACGAGGTCATCAGTGGCCTCTAACACCTTAGCTAGAAGATAAAATCCTGCAAAGAATTTACAGAAAATGTAATGGTGGATGTTCATAGTTAATCTCGTGATGAAACAATGTCGTAATACAAATACAAACCTGCTGCCCATAGCCAATAAGTTGAATGAGTGTACATTGGCGGCAACAAAATAGCCATGATTGGAATTGCAATGATTGGTACAAATTGAACCAAAGCATATGGACGGAGGTCATCAAAGAACCTGGGGTAAATACAAGACAAGGGTAATTATTTCATGAGTTAAAAATCAGTTGAATGATCAAGTACGTAGATTTAACCCCAAATCAATAACACATAAATGAATAATAACATTAAGGGTCATGCTAACAAGTGTCCTAACTAAGACCACTAGTTAAGAAAGCAAAATGTAGAAACTTTGCATTGAAAAGAACACTTTTTAAACTTCTAAAAAGCCGAATACACCAGTTTTCAACATAATATTTCTCCGTGTTTCCTTAACAAGTGCCCTAAGGAGACTCTTTCACATTTTCCTAACATTAAAAAGGACTATTATAACTTCTGGCATTTTGATTCGCTAAACTATTCAGTGATTCTACACAACAAATCATGTAACTACAAATAAATTTGTAGATTTGGCAGTGAGTCAAGCAAGAGGTGAAAAAATAAAAACCAAATAGGCTTTTCATCAATGACCGTACTTCAAATATGAGATAAATCAATGAAACATTGTGCACAAAACAAAAATTAAATAAGACAGTGAGCTTGCCTCCAATACGCAATACTAATAACACCCGCCAAAACAAGAGGTATAATTGAAATCATTCCTTTCCTCTCATCAATCCTCTCAATGATGAAAATCGCAATGATAGAAGTAAAAGCAACCGTCATCTGAAACATAAAACATATTAGGAATTAAAAACAAAGAACGAAAAAAAAAAAAGTATTAATTTAGCAATGCGAAATTGCTTCTATAACTTCAACTCACAGGTAACCTATCCCACACAAGTCTAGCATCATCCGGCTTGAGATGATAATACGAAGATCCAACAGCAACAGCAGCCACACCAACATAGAAACAAGTCCAACCCCAGAGTTCACCTTGCAAACTTTACGGCATGAAAATCCATCAAAATCATCAACAGTAACAAAATTAATATGAAAAATGAGTGTACCTACCTGAGCTTAAAATAATTTCCATGATGACAAAGTACAAGTCCAATTGAACCAATAATGAGAAAAGGGAAATTGGAAATGACATCAAGTGCATTGGGAATACCTAAAAGAATTAACAGAAAAGCTGATTAATCTAGAATGATACACAGTAAAAAGGCAATTAAGATAAGTTGAATGAATAGAATAGAAATTAGGGTTAGTAGTAACCGAAAAAGGTGCGTTGATCGGCGAAATTGTGATAATCTTGGGACTGAGGAATGGATGGGGTTAGAATCATGAGTACTACGAAGCAAATGAGAGCTACGGCCAAGGTATAAGCGGTGCGTTTTCTCATTTCTGTTTGATTGATTAAGTCTCGGAGAGAAAAGAAAAGAAAAGAAGATGAGATCAGAGAGGAGTGAGGAGGAGGATGGAAACTATGTGGGGAGATGGAAAGAGCGTGTGTAGTGCGGTAAGGTGCCGTGGCGGTTTGTATAGTTGAGTTGAATTCAACAACTTTATTAATTATTATTATTATTATTATTGGATTTTATTTGATTTCTATGACCATTAAAATAGATAATTTTCGGCAAATATAATAAGTAATAAGACATCTATTTAATTTGCTAGAGAAAACACGATAAAGTAAAGATGATAAACATAATAACTTACTTATTCAATTTATCTAATAATTTATTATAAAAAAAATAAATAGTCACCCGAATTTCCAGGAACAAATTTTACTTTTTATTTCAAGTATTTCTCAATTCCTTCAACTTTTTATATATGGATCACACAAATCTAAGATGCTTAGAAGTATTTTAAAGTATCTTTTTAGAAGTGTTTCTCAATCTCTCTTAAATATCTCCAAAAACTTCCCAAATTTCAAAAAAATCATTGTTAGGAATTTAACCTTGTCTCCCTGATATTACCATTAAGATTCTTAAACTCTTCTTAATGTCTTCCGCTATTAAGTTTTGAAGGTTGTGATTATTTAAACAAAATTAGTTTGTATTATATCTTTAAGGTTTTAATGATAATAAAGTATTTAAATAACAATGGGGTATACTAGCATATGTTCAAGTGTGCAAGACCAAAGGCTAACAATTTTGATATAAAATCAATTTTGATGACCAGTTTGTCAGCTAGAGTCTATGTTCACAATGCTAAAGAATAGTTGACATGCTTTGCGGATATCTATTCTCAACGGATCTATAATACAAGATTACATGGAAGACGCAATGGTTAAACAAGTTACACAATGGATTAAGATTTTTTGTGTATTTATCTTCAATGTCTCTTGTACTATGGAGAAACAAAGACACTTGTAAAAGTTATCTCTTCCAACAGCTAGTCTTCTGCAACTACTATATAAGTAGTCGAAGACTCAATCTTAATTTTCAACAAGGAACAAGGAACAAAGAGCAAATAGAGAAGGAAAATCAAGAAGGATAAGAGTGTTTTACACTTCTATATGTACGGAGGAATAACAAGATCAACAATAAGCAACACAAATGAGTATGCAGAAATTTTGTTATATGTTGCAAATTGTACAAAACCTTAAGATTTCTTAAACATTGAATATCTTAAAAATCTTAAGTGCTTAAGGTATTTGTTATGGTGATTACATTGTACCTCTGATTTTGTATCAAGTACACTTTATTCTCTATTCTGCTAAACAAGATGTTTAGCGGTTTAGATAAAGTCTCTTGATATGTGCTTGAGCATCAAAGTCTCTTGTTGAAAAGCTTGAGTCGAGTAAGTTTCTTTTTATGTGCTAGAGCGTTAAAAGTCTTGATTAATTGTTGATTAAGCAAGGAAGTGTTGGACTGTGAGTCTAAGTAGAAGTCTTGTACTTAAGGGTATGACCAGAAGTCTGAGGTTCGTGAACCTGAGCAAGAAAGTCTTGGGATGCGGTATGAGCAAGGAAGTATTGAGTCTGAATGGCTTAATCAGGAAGTTTTGGGTTCGTGGAACCTGAGCAGGAAGTCTTGGACTTGAGGGTCTAAGCAGAAAGACTTGATCCTGAGGGGCTTAAGCAAGGAAGTCTTGGACTTGAGGATCTAAGCAGGAAGACTTGATCCTGAGGGGGTTAAGCAAGGAAGTCTTGGATTCGTGTAATCTGAGCAAGAAATTCTTAGGTTGAGGTATAAGCAGAAAGTATTGAACCTGAGAGGTTTAAGTAGGAAGTCTCGGGCAGAGGGTCTGAGCAAAGAAAATTATTTTGCTTAAGTGCATAAACAATTGTAATCATGTTTTGATTATAGTAAAAATATATTGTGTTTCAATGGGACTAGACTACTCTCAATTTGGAAGGAACCAAGATAAATTTGTGTGTTCTTTATCTTTTTATCAGGATTTGAACTTTCTGTTGCAATGTATTAATTAGGATTTGAACATCAGTTTAGATTCTGAGCTCTGACCAGAGACAAAGATAAGAAACGAAAAACACAATTCAACCATCCCCCCTTCTTATGTATTTTTCTCACCTTTAGTTGGTATCAGAGTCTGGTTTATGCATAACAATTAACGGTGGTGCATATAACGATCCAATGAGAAAAATATGTATGCTAAAGACTTTCCTTCAAGAAGGATTTAAGTACCACATGAAAAATATTACATTATTAATCCTACCATATTCAAAGGGTGACTCCGCTGAATTTAAATGATGGAAAAAAGAAAAATATTTTTTTAATTCATTG